TGTGTCCGTCAGTGGTGTTCTGCATTCTTGGGTCGCTTTTAGTGAACCCATCATGACAATATTAAACTGAAATTATAATATTACTACATATTTCCAGTTCTGTGTCTATCCAGGGCTCGTCTAAGGGATTATGTTTTATCTATTTAGAGATGTATTGTAATCTATTTGCTAAGTAGTAGTTTTGGAAGTTAGGTAAATCTAGTCTCCCTCTGTCTTTAGTTTTCTGTAGTATCTTTAAGTTGTTACAAGGGGGTTTATCCTTCCAAACAAATTTAGAGATGGGAGAGTCAAGAGATTTAAACCAGTCAGATGGTGGTTTATTGGGGATCATTGAAAATAAGTAGTTAATTCTAGGTAAGACCATCATTTTAATTGAGGCTACCTTATGAATATTGGGAAATCGGAAGCGATTTCCATCTTTCAAGGTCCTCTTCTATCTTTTTTAAAAGCGGGATGTGGTTAAGTTTCTAATTTAGATGACACAGTAATTCCCAAACATTTAATATTTCCTGATTGCAGTTGTACAGTAAATCTAAGGGGTTCTGTAGAGAGCAGTTACTTGGCAGTACTGTAGATTTAGACCAATTTATAGAGTACGTAATCTGAGATTTTTGAGAAAGTTTCTTGTAATCTACATACTTGAGAGAGGGAAGTGTTTAAGTGCTGGAGATAGAGTAATACATCATCTGCGTAAATACTAATATTATGCTCTATTTTCCTGCATTTTATACCTTTAACAACTTTAGTTTGTCTAATTGTTGCTGCTAGAGGTTCAATAAAAATGTCAAAAAGTGAGGGGGAGAGCTGACATCCCTGCCTGGTATCCCTCTGGAGACAAAAGCTGGAAAATAATTATTGATTTGATTATTTGTCCTGAAACAAACTAATTTATGCAGGGTGTGTTCAAGTCCATGAGGCAGAAATCCTATCTACTTTTAAGGCTTGGCTTTAAACTTTCCTTAGCATTCTCTACAGTTATGTTGCTAAATGTTTAGGCTAGTGGAGGACATAGCCCACAAACCTTTCAGTAAATGTCATAAAGGAAAAAGCTTTTGAAACATATTGAAAGAAACTCACAAAAATTATTTTGATTCAAACGCTTTATTGTCAAAAAGAAATTACAGTTAGCACAGACAGGGATGTGGTTATCAATATTTTCTGCATATTTTTTCTCTCTTCTTTGTAAATGTTTCATGCCTTCCCATTACACCTTGGTGGGAAGAATTATCTGCACATATATGTGCTGTCTGTCCATTATCTGCTGTAAAAATGGCCCTTATTAGTGTGTAATCATTTTTCACCTCCTCCCACACACTTGAAAAACCTGTTGACTTGTAAAAATATCAGTTGGTTTGTTTCTCTTCGATCTTACCAGAACGAGAGGATCAGCTGACAATGAAATTCAGAAAGTAGATCAACCACAAGCAACACATAAAATCTTTCTTTCAGTTTGTATTTTCTGTAAAGTGTGTTCTTCTTGTTATATCACTAATCGACAGAAACTTTTTAAAAACATGCCAATCCTGAGCTGGGATGGGCTCCCCTTGAAGAATGCTGGATGACAGATATGATAAAATAGACGAGACCCGCTCACATTTCACATGGTAATAAAAGCATTAAA